TAATATTAAATAATCCAAGAAAATGGAATGCTGCTATGGTCCGGGAAAGATTTGAGTGGGAGACGGCAATAAACATTCTCGATATGGAACTAACAGAAACTGATGAGAAAGATTTCCTATTTTGGAATTTCCACCCAATAGGAAACTACACTGTGAAGTCTGGGTATGCTTTCCTTTTACATGCTTATGCTTTGGAGCAGGGGCAGGAGGAAGACTATTTTTTCTTCAAACTAATCTGGAGATTAAATATTCCTCCAAAGTGGAGCTTATTTTTATGGAAATTAGTTTTGAATGGGTTGGCTGTCAAGTCAAATTTGAGATATCGAGGGGTGGATACAGACGAAGATTTTGATTCTTGCGAAATGGAGGAGGAGGACCTACAACACCTTTTTCGGTTGTGCTCTTTTGCGAAGTATGCTTGGCAGAATTGTGACTTGCATATTAGCTTTGAAAATGATGAATCTACTCCTTTGGGACACTGGATTTAGCACCATATCCTGCTTTTTCATAGCGAGGATGGGAAGCATAGTAAGAGACTTCATGCTTTCATAGGAGTATTGTGGAGTCTATGGTTAACCAGGAATGGGAGGGCCTTTAGAAACGAGCGGGGTTACTTAGCAGACTACTACAGACATTATGACCAAACAATGAGTAGTCTTGACACTTTCCTAAATCCTACAGGAAGATATAGGGTGGTCCCCCGTAATCTGGAAAGTACAGGAGATCAGCCACCGGGTTTTTGCATATTCAACATTGGAAGACAAAATTTTCTCCCAGGTACCCCTCTAGAAGGGAATATGGAGATAATTATCATGGTGGATGGTTCTTGGCAGAAACATAACGGGAATGCGGGTTTTGGCTGGGCTTATTCTTTGGATGCAGTTAATTACGAGGATGGGGGAGGAGGTTATGGTAAAGCCATTTTAGCTTTACATGCTGAACTCTTAGCTTGTATAGAAGCCATCAAATGGGCTCGCCTAAAAAGTTTCCGCCGCATCACAATCTTCACTGATTCGATGGCTCTCATTCAGCTTTTACGTTGTCCCAACAGACGGGAGGTGAGACTTCTTTGGATTACTGGTGTCTTAGTGAAGGAGGGTGGACTTTTGGATATGTGTACTATCTGGAAAGTGAGTAGGGATCAGCTAACAAAAGCGCATAATATTGCGGGTTGGTGTAGATGTAATTTAATTAATTTCTCGTTGTAAGTTTTCTTTAAGTTGCTTTTGTCAAAAAAAATAATAATAATAATCTTATTTAGGTTAATATGATTATAATTCAAGTGATTGCCAATAATAGATTTATTTGTGCAATATTCAACCAACATAGATTAAACAGGTTTAGGGTAATCCAATTGATTGCACGTTAGTCAGAAAGCGCACATGAATACGATCAAAATAAAGTAGAGGCCTATTATTAGGGCAGGTTCAATCTTTTTTAGGTCGGATTTGTACCTTCATCCTCGAACTACCAGTCATAGTTCCAGACCAATTGGAGTTGACGATCTCTTGGATCGTTAAGGGGTGTAACCTTCACCTCGTGAACGGTTTACAAATTCCTAAAACTTGTTGGCGACTCTTTTGCTCTATCTTCTTTCCCTTTGGACACCACCGTACTTTAGTGTATGATCACAGTAGGGTTTAAGTTTGGGGTAATGCTTGGAATATTCCCCATAACCTGTCACAATATTATTGGTCTTAAAATAATTATTACTAATTAACATTAATTAACTTATTTAAATCTAACTTTCTTAAAATAATTAAAAAAAGTAAAACAATCGCCACCACCAGCCTTAGCCCCAGCACCAGCCACCTCTCCGGCCCCAACCGTCGACCAAGACCAGCCGCCAACCTCCTCCCCGCCCAGACCGCATTTCCCTCACTCCTGTCGCCGCCCCTCCCCTACCCCATTCTGTCACCTCCTCTAACCGAAATTTAGGCGGGGAAAAGGGGGTCGAAATCAAGGCATGGGAAGGGTGGTGAAGGCCAAATCTGGCCGAGGAGAGGGAGATGAGGCCGAATAAGGGACAGAGGAAGGGGAAGGGAGCGAAAACGTGGCCGAGGAAGTGGGTGGTCGGGATAGGGACAGTTTCGAATTGAAGGAGCTTGGTGGTTGAGGGGGACGCGGAGGGGGCTGGGATCGGGACGGGATAGGGGTTTTGGAGGGGAGGGGGCTAGGATCGGGACGAGAAAGGGGCTTTTGGGGGAGGGGGTCGGTTGCGACGCCAGCGCCGGCGCTGGTTGGAGCCTGGGTGGCCGAAGCCGCGGGCAGGGATTTGGCTCAGGCGGCGGCGACAGTGGCTTGGGCAGCTGGTGGGTGGTTTTTATTTATTTTTATTTTTTTATTTACTTTACTTTTTCCTTAAAAAATCTAACTTTTTTAAAAAAATTATTTAATTTATTTTTATTTTTTTTACCAATCACATGCCGCCACATGTCATGTAACTTGTTATAACAGGTTACATGACCGGTTGGGACTATTTTGAGCGGATGGAGTATAAAGGTCGGATTATTTAAAAATAGGAAAATTTGAATTTTAGTACCTCGAATATGGGGGTAATTGAATTTTAGTACCCATCTAAAATTTTATTTTAAATTAGTACCTCCAAAATGACAAAACTATAGGTTTCAGTACCTCCGTCTAGTTCTGTTAAGTTTTCCGTTAGTGGGGCCCATTATCTAATTATTTAATAATTTAATTTATTAAAAAAAAAGAAAAAACATTTTATAAAAAAAAAACTTTAAAAAATAAAAATAAAAAATAAAAACAGCCACTGACACCAGCGCCGGCGCCGGCTTCCGGCTGTTGGTGGCCGAATTCCCCTGGCACCGGCGCCGGCCACCCCTTCCCTTTCCCTCCCTGTTTTCCCCTTCCCTGGAGCAAAGCCCAGCCACAGCAGCTGCCGCCGTGGCCAGGCAGGAAGCCCAGCCACAGCAGCTGCCGCCGCGGCCAGGCAGGAAGCCCAGGGGTGCCATAAACCCACCACCCACGAACACCCGAAACCAGAAACCCACCACACCCCACCACCCACGAACCCCCGAAACCCACAACCCCACCACCGACGAACCCAGAAACCCACCACCCCACAACCGACGAACCCAGAAACCCCTAAAACCCACCACCGCACAACAAACGAACCCAGAAACCCCTAAAACCCACAACCGACGAACCCTAAAACCCCAAATTCGAAACCCACCTTATCTGAAATCCACCACATCGCCGCGGCCAGAAACGAGGAAGGGGAAGGGGAAAACAGGGAGGGAAAGGGAAAGGGAGGGGGTGGGGTGCCGCGGCCAGGAATGAGAAAGGGAGGGAAGATGGTGGTGGTTGCGCTAGGGTTTCGGGGAAGGGGTGGTCAGCGCCGGTGTGGCTGATTTTTTTTTTTAATTATTTTTTTAGTTTTTTTTTATAAAATGTTTTTTCTTTTTTTTTTTAATAAATTAAATTATTAAATAATTAGATAAAGGGCCCCACTAACGGAAAACTTAACGGAACATGGACGGAGGTACTGATATCTATAGTTTAGTCATTTTTGAGGTACTAATTTAAAATAAAATTTTAGATGGGTACTAAAATTCAATTACCCCCATATTTGAGGTACTAAAATTCAAATTATCCTTAAAAATATCCCAAAGGTGGGATTATTTTTCGCGGACGCCCCAAATTAAAGGTGGATTATTGTTGGCAATTTTTCCTTAAAATAAATAGTTCAACATTAAGTCATTAATTAATTAATACAAAGTCTCCCTAATTAATTTTAAGTAGTAGTAACTATTTGAGCTAAACTTCAAAAAACAAAGAAATCCATATTTATACAAGCGTAATTTTGCAATTCGGTTTAAAAGGTGTTCCTTTTAAAGGGACGGTGCTATGGTTTTATCTAGATTCGAACCCTCAACCTCAAACAAATAAATGTTACACACTTACCATCTCAACCAACATTTATTAGTGTTTTAAATTTCACATATTTAACATTATATATTCCTTTTAAATTAGAGGTTATTTAATTTATTTATTTTTCTTAGAAAATAAATACATATGAAGTAAAAAAAAATCGTAACATCCGAGATGACACCCAAATCACTCACTAACTATACAACAGTTAAACATAATTAACAAATTAAAGAAGTACAAACTAGCAATGCGGAGCATCTCCCGGGATACACACTAGTATGAAATTAAAAAAGGTGTCTTCCTAATTTGATGATAAAAGATTATATAGGTTTATTTGTGTTATTCATTTGTTTGCAACATTTTGTTTTTTCTATTGTAATCAAATATGTATTACAATATACATTTTTTTTAAATGATCAAAACACTATTGTGTTTAAAAATTCACATTACTCATTTACACAATTACGCTTATTTTTTAAGTAATTTTGAACTTTTTCAAGGTTTAAGGAGAGTTTTTATAATTTTTTTTTCCATATAGGCAAGATTGAAATATTCTGAGCCGGAGAATATTGAAATTTTTGTATGTGAAACAAATTATATATATCTCGTGAAAGCAAAGTAGCTATTTTGTAGAGCCAATAACTCTTTGATTGATTACATATTAAGAAATTTATTAGAAGCCTGTAAACACTTCCTTATGGTGAAAGTTGTACTTAAAACACATTGTGGGAGTAGTTTTGTGATTAAATGAGATGTTTTTTTTTTTTTTTTTAATTATGCAACCAACAAATCCTTAATGATGAAAGTGAAAGGTGATTCCCCAAATGATGAAAAGTAAGAAAAGTAAATCTTAAAAAATGCATTTTACTATAATTCGTTATCCTCGTAATATATATAACACATGTAGCCATAAGATTCTATATAAAAAATTCTATCCAAATTTACTTATTCAAATAGTTTTCACAGCCAAATGAAAATAACGAACCAAATAAACGAGTATTAAATCGGGTGAATCTTCGAACAAGCAACAAGTTCATTTATAGACACCCATAAATCAAATACAATAGAGTAGTGAATATAAAACACCCAAGTTGATAAATATAAAGTGATGGAACTATCCAACTATATTTGATATCTAGAATCCAAGCTTCCATTTATTCCCCAAAAAAGACGATTCCCATGATAAATACAAGATCATCATCCAGGCTGGCCCTCTTCTAGAGTGGGTCAGTTGACAGTAAGCAAAACCAATACCATTACCGGTTGACTTTTTTTGGCACCCAATTACACCTCATTTCATAGTATTCACATCAAAACCCAGAAAATAATATAAATAATTATCACAACAAAAACAAAAAAAAAATAAAACCCCTGGAATTTCTGAATTCATCCTTACAATTAAAAAAAGAAATTGTGATTGTGAATTGGAATTTCAATGCACAGTATCCAAGGTACCCACCACCTCTAGCACCACCAAACCAGCGCCATGATCAACTCTTTCAAATTCTCTCCATTTTCTCTCTCCTAGGGTTTTCCATTTCTTCTCTTCTTCTTCCTTCTTCCTTCTTCTTCATCAATGGCGTCCAAGCCATGGCTGCAACCTGCTCCTACGTACAACCCTTTGGAATCGTTTTGGGATTCCGACGAAGATGCGCCTGGTCCTCGTTGTGGTCATACCCTTACCGCCGTCGCAGCTACCAAATCTCAGGGTCCTCGTCTTATTCTTTTTGGTGGTGCAACCGCCATTGAAGGCGGCGCTTCTTCTTCCGCTCCTGGAATCAGTTAATGGGTTTTTCGTTTTGTTTGATTTGATTTTGGTTGATTGAATTGTTGGGTTCGATTGGTTTGATTTGGTTTTGTGATTTAGGGTTGGCTGGGGTTACGAATTCTGTTCATTCCTATGATGTTCTTACTAAGAAATGGGCCAGGTTTGATGTTTTATCACCTTATTTGTTGATTTTGTTTCTGTTTTTGGTTTGGTGTTTCTGAATTCTGATTGTGTTTGGGTGTTTTGAACAATAGGATTAGACCGGCTGGTGACCCGCCTTCTCCGAGGGCGGCTCACGCAGCTGCCGCAGTTGGAACTATGGTTGTATTTCAGGTGAGTGTTTGTATGGCATTTCAATTTTAGTTGTTTTTTGCTTGGGATGAATGTTGGTAGTGTTATTTATTGATGTGGTGTTGTGCTTTGGAGTGGAGAGTAGGGTGGTATAGGACCTGCTGGGCATTCGACAGATGATCTATATGTGCTTGATTTGACCAATGACAAGTATAAATGGCATAGGTGAGTGACATTTTTGGCAGAAAAATAATTCCTTTGATGCCACGAGCTTTCGTTTTGTGGATATTCATTCATCTTCTTTCCTTGATTGTGTGTTTGCAGAGTAGTTGTCCAAGGTCAAGGACCTGGACCTAGATATGGCCATGTAATGGACCTGGTTGCTCAAAGATACCTCGTAACAGTCAGTGGCAATGATGGTTAGTTCTTCATCTTGTGTTTACTTTGATGCATTTTAAATTTTTTTGACGCTAAGTAGAGTCGTTGAAAAAACTCTTATCGGGCAAGGACTATTACTATCTATACCCTCCTTGTGAAGTTACTTTGTACGAGGGTTTGAGGGGGGATGTTCAAGAAACCTCTGAATATGTTTTCTCAAACGGATGATGTGGAGATAGAAATTTAAAGACTTTAATTATAAGTAAAGAAGGATAACAAATTAACCGATGTAATAGGATAGTAGGAAGAACAAAGAAAAATGGATAGAGTATTCGCTTATTGACTATGGAGGGCTCGACACATTAGAATTGGTGTTATTTAATGGTTGAATTACCTGGATTGGCAATGCATTTTAAATGGAGTTGATTATGCCATTGGAGTTATTTGTTGCGAGGATTTTTTGATTGTTACTTTTGAAGTTCCACATGAGCTAGTTGATTATGCAAAAAAAAAAAAAAAAAAAAAACCTCATATCTCATCATCAACTTTGGTTGAAAAGGTGGATGTGCTGGATGCTAAAAAAAAATTCATGGGCCATAATTGATTTTCTTGGACTTTTTCTCTCCTATTTTCACAATCCTTCGTATTCTTCATGGTCCAAATTAGATTTATTTTTGGCACAAATATCTCAGATTCTTCTAGATTTAGGAGAGTGTGTGTTCCTGGATATGTTAAATTTATATTATACAAGTGTGCTGGGCTGCCCATGGCATGACAAGACACATCATGAAAAAAACATGGCTCGGTAAACACAATCTAAGCCACATTTCTTTGGAGAAGCATGACATGGCATAGCCTGACATAGTAAATCACGATAATATAAGTTAGATATGGCTTCAACATGCAAACACATGCGACAATGGGCTCAATTGTGGTTAACCTCCCACAGCCATTTAAGTTCCTTTACAACCAGCTATCATTGCTGTGATGATTGCTATTCATATTAGAATCTTACGATTTTATGATCCTTAATATACGTGACCTAGGTAGAATGTTAAAATTGTTGAATTTTACAATCTTATCAAGATAAACATTTAAAGTGTCAAAAATCGAATATGGTTTCATGCAAGGCCATTTTGAAGATTTTAAGGCCCTGTTTTAAATTACAATATGGGCCTATCATATTTTCCAACTTATACAAACTAAAAAATTTCAGGCTAAAATTAAACAGCATATATACTACAATATGCTATGATATAATGATTACATATATCAAATTAGGCACAAAAATATATTCGGATATTTTAACTTGATACAACTTGAACTATTTATCAACCTTCTGATCTTAGGGGGCATAATTACAAAATTCAACAAGTATAATGGTAGTAACTTTGAAATAAATAAAAACCTTATCAAATCTCAAGTGCCATCTTTCTTCGTTTCTCACTTAATTTAATTTAACCTTATAATAAATCTATTAGAATCATGAGACAATCAAGGTAATCAAACTTTGCCCAATTTATTTATTTATTTATTTTTTTAAGGAAAGACTTACTTTTACTTTGCCCCGCAATATTGGAAGTTGGTGAGTTGTAGAGGTGAATTGAAATCGAGAGTGCTCGGCAACTGCAAGACGAATCAATGATGACAATAAATCGTGAATAATAAAACCTAAAGATTTAGGTAATTTTGTAGTTTATCTAAATTCATGTAATTTTTTTTTTAATTTTTTGATAAACAAATTAGAATTGGATGATGTGGGAGAAATTTAGAAAGAAAATTTGAAAAATTGAAAAATTGTTGTTCATACCCATTGCTCAGTTTGAATATGGGGAAAACCTTTTGAACTTCCTAATGTAATTAACAGAGTTCCATGGAAATAGGAGAAATAATGGAATTGATTTATTAAATTTGATAAAGAAAGAAAATTAATGTCAAATTTAAGGAAGAAGATGAGAAATTGGAGAATTAGAGAAAGAAGGCTGAATTGGAAGAGATGAATTGGAATGGGAATTGGGAGAGATGAATTGGCATGGGAATTCTATCTTCATGGGATTAATTAACCTCTTTGGGCTTTCTCCTTAATCCTTCTTTATCTTCACTTCCATTTTCTCCTCTTCTAAACAGTCTGTAAGTGTTCTCTCATTTTACCATTTTCCATGAAAAACTACACGGTGAGTCATATTTGATGGTTCGGCTAGGATGTATTTTTTTTTCTTTTTTTCGTGGAAGGGCATGTTCAAAATCTGTTACTAAACGGTTGCCATGTAATGGAACAGACAAGTTTTAGTTCCATATCATTTTCACTAGTTAACTTTTTGTAATTTGGTCATGTTTACTTTTGACCCTTGTGTTTCAAAGTTTCTGTGTGTACATTTTTTTGTATACAGCCAGCTAACCATGTGCATTTCTGTTTTTTTTTTTTCTACATGAAATGTGCTAGTTCTTGCTTTGTGTTAATGCTGGTATTAATGGATAGTTTGCCACTCGATAGTTATAATATGTCAGATAAGGCCTCGTCTGAACTGAGAAACCACTTCTGTTACTGCATTTATATAACTACCTGGTTGCCAATTTGCTGACTATGCTAATTCCTTTTGGGCTACATTGCTTATCTTGCTATTTGTAGTTATAGAACGCTGTTTATTGGTGCTCTTATGCCAATAATATATAGATAGTAAAATATACTTTTCTCTTTCAGGGAAAAGGGTTCTGTCAGATGCTTGGGTTTTGGATACTGCTCAAAAGCCATATGTTTGGCAGAGGCTTAACCCTGAAGGTGATAGACCATCTGCTAGAATGTGAGTTTATTCTGTTTGCTAGTTTTAGTGTAAATTTATATCTGCTTCTAGTAGTTAACTTTAAACTTTAAAGGCTTGTTAGTTTGTTAATGTGGGCAACTGGGCATGTAATCAAGTAGTTGGTTTAAATTTATTTTTACAGCTGTGATGGTTAAAAAAATTTATTTACTCGACATTCCGTCTTTATTTTGTGGACTTTTGATATATATACCCCCATTGTCTTGGGTGGTGTCTGAAAGGTAAAAGGGCTATGCTTTTAGCTTGTGGAAACTTGCTTTTATTACTGCCTTGAATAAATTTATTCTTTTTAGGTGACTTTTTTTTGTTTTATATTTTTCCTACCCCCTCCCTCCAGCTATCATTGTGACTTTTGGATCCAATTATAGTAAAGTGCATAGTATCTATACAACACTATGAGATATAGGTATGCCAGTCAATTACCCTTGTACCAATTACTGAAGTAGGGTTAAATACAAACTACTCATGCCCAGAATATTTTGACTCTATTGAAGCAAGTCTTCTACAAATTTAATACCAAATGTTTCTCAGAAGTCAGAACCTAGTATATGACAAGTGGAGACTACCCTCAAATATTCTATTTGATGATATTGCTCTAATTGAGTGCAAAAGTGAAGAATACATTTGCTAACCATTAAAGCCACTTAGATCACTACTATGGCTTTTATTGACTGATACTCAATAGATGGTAAAGGTCAACAACATCAGCAAAGTTGGTGAATTATCAATTATGATCACCATGGTCTCTCGTTTCCATCAGAAATCTGAAAACCTCTAAAAGCATTTTCTCACGAACTAATGATCTATACTTAAATCACATATATAGTGCTTTTTGAATGAAGCAATTACTAGTGAGGGAAAGTGTGTAAACTAATCTGGGAACACCTTGAAAGTAAAGTTTGTATTTTGTAAAGTAGTAAGCCATTAGGACAAAAGGAGTAAAATGGAGAAAAGTAAAAAACAAAATTAACCTTCCACAAAATATGATCTTCCTCCTGCAAAGATGCATCCATGGCTGCCACCACCCAACAAATCAGGCTAATTAAAAATTTTAAATCACCACAATAGAAGTCATGTCAAAAAACTCATCAGAATTGCAGAAGAGGTTTCATGGAAGCATAAATACTCAACCAGTGTCAAACTTAGATATGATCTATAGTCCTATGGAAGAGCCTGCAATAAAAATATATACACTGAGCTATAACTTGATTATCTCCAAAATTCCTCCCTTGTGAACAGAAAAGAAGGCCAAAGACGAGAATCATATATATATATATATAAAAAAAATTTATAAAAGAAGGCTAAAACCCAAAAAAAAAAAAAAACAGTAGGAGTCAGTACTAATAATTTATGGAGCTAAGATGATCTGGGAAATCGGTGCACTAGACTGTATAAAGTATAATTAAGAAATCAGCTAAGAGATGCCTAAATACAAACTAGTTGAGTTTGTCTAATAAGAGGGAAAATGGAATAAGGAGCGGGGGTTCACGTCATAACAATTCTTTAGATGTAATAACAAACATTCTCTCTCTAACACTTATAGGATAGATAACCCCATTCATATCAATTTTGTAGATATAATAGCAATGAAAATTTTGGAGGGAGGGTGATAAACTGATGGAGAAGATGATTTTTAATGTATCACGTGAAAGCTTGTTTGTTATGTTCAGTCATCAACGACTTTTCAATTTGCCAGGGATCCATTAATAGTTGGTTGTCCAGATGTTTTGAAATTGACTTATTTGATGCTTCATATACATCACAATACAGCTTAAACCTTACTAATTATATTCGACAATATGGTTGCACAATGTGTAGGTATGCCACTGCAAGTGCTCGATCAGACGGCATGTTTTTGCTATGTGGCGGAAGAGACTCAACTGGCGCGGTATGTTGCTTCTGTTTGTGGGAAGTTTTACTGCTGACTGCATCCTTATTTTTGCATAGGATTGTCTGTTCTGATATTTCTGAACTCTTTGTGCACAACGTATTTCTCTATTTCCCCGTCTTTATGCTCTCTCTTATGGGATTAAAGCTTTGATTGATTGATTTATGCTCTCTTTCCATGCCTTGATCTGTAGAAGTTTGTAAGGGTCCCATATTATTATAATGTCTTTGTAGTTCTTACAATGCCTCATAAAGCTCTTGTAGGTCTAGTTTTTCTCCTTATGCATACCGTATTTGTTTTGTTTCTTGTGGAAGATGTGGAAGCTGAGACAAATGGGTTCAATATGGATATTTCCTTAATGATGCGTATGTATTCTTCTTAGTGGTAGAAGAAAAAGTGTATGTAAGTTGTGCATCTTCTATACATATTTTAGTACATACTTGGATAAAAAAAGCTTGTTGAGGCTTTAACCCAACAGTGTGAACTATATGAACAATAATATGTACCCATTGTTCCTAGCTTCATTCATACTTTCTTAATAGGGTACTCCTCATTTCCCTGGCCACTTTCATAAATCATAACAGCATTTCACCAAAATAAATTAGTAAATAAAAACTGAAAGGTCTGAAACAATTACTAATTTTTGCAGAAAATTAAGCCATACACGAATGATATGCATATGCCTGTACCTGGTGCAGCAGATGTGGTGACCCTTTACTGCCTGGAGCAGTTCTGGCTTTTGAGAACCTGTCATACATTCTTAAATGAACCCATTGCCTTATTGTAAGGCATACTGATTAGATTCAAGGATGACAATAATGGGGCAAAGAACAGCCTTTATGTGATCCATATTGATTTGTGAAAGAGCTTCTTGTGCAAATAGTTGTAGATTTCATTGAATTATTTTATTGCTTTTTTTCTTCTTCATGAATACGTATAAAATTGTGCATAACTTCTGCTTTTCAGGCAAAATGGTTAAATTTCTGTCAGTTCACCCCCAAATTTAATAATCACTGGTTGATCTTAAACATATTTTGTCACATGTAGCATTTATTCCATGGCTTGTGGAACGTATACATTCATTTTGAACTTATCTTTTTTGCATATTGGTTTGTAAAGCTACATGATTGTTCTTCCAATTTGCTATGACTCTTATGAATGGATTCTAAGAGGTTTACAGAGAAAGAGTTTATATGTTATTGATTGATATCGTGCATATACAGCCCCTTGCAGATGCATATGGACTACTTATGCATAGAAATGGTCAGTGGGAGTGGACTCTAGCACCTGGTGTTTCTCCCTCTCCAAGGTACCAACATGCTGCGGTAAGTTTTGTGGTATTACCCGTATAACTGTTTATGGAAGCTTTTGGTTCATTAATTTACAAAGCTTTTGTTTATGGGATTTAGAAGGTAGGAATGGGATATAGTTTCATTGTTTTGCGGGTTTGGAAATAATGGATTTGGGACTTGAGTGTAAGGATGGGAGTTAATGAGTTATAACAATTCAAAGCTGCCTATTTTTCCTTGAATGAAAAGCAGGGGAGATATTTAATTAGGGTTATTGTAATTAGTGAATCTATACAACTTTTACCACAATAACCCAAACAGTGTTAAATGAGAGATGTTAGGATAATTTCCAACATGTTTTTATAAAGGCTCCTATGGTGTTGCAGTGACTAGTGAGTGAATGATCTCTCAATGCATCAGGCTGCCTAAAGTGTAGCATGAGGTGCTTTGCTGCCTCCTGAGAAATTGTTTTTGAAGGGAAGAAACTAAGTGAATGTTAACTGTCTGGAAATGAGTAGCAATGAAAGCCTCAGCATGTACAGCATATAAAATAAGGGGAATTTAAAGGGAAACTTAACTTCTTGCTAGGAATTAGAACTCAAAAAGTCAATTAAAATGGGCTCATCTTTTACATCCACCTTTGTGTCTCTTCTTTTCTGTTGCTGTCTTTTATTAGGTATAGATGCTGCTCTCCTTTCTAGCTTAACTTGTACTCTGTTGCTGCTGCTGCTCTCATATTTTTGACCTATGTTACTTGGACTCGGATGAAGTGTCAAATTAGACACGGGTGTCCAAGTATCGGACTCGCCCATTTTCTTGAAAAAAGTTTTGTTTTTAGTTAAAAATGAAGTGTCCAAGTGTCGGTGTCGGTGTCCGACACGAGTTGTGTCGACACGGACACGTGAGGTAAATGAAAGAGTCCGAGTAACATAGTTTTTGACATTTGATTACGGGTTGAAAGGTTGAAAGAGGGGATCTCCTCTCTTTTTTAATAACCGACACACGTCGACTATTTCCGCTATTATGTTAGTAAAAAACTATGGACAAAGTCAACATATGATCATATGAATAGTGACATAGCAGAATTTTTCTTTTCTTTTTTATCTGTATATTTATTTATCTTTTGAGTTTTCCAGATTTTACTTAGACAAGTTTGTATCTAAATTTGTTGCTTATTAGGTCTTTGTAGGCACTAGATTGCATGTTACTGGGGGTGCTCTTAGGGGAGGACGTGCCATTGAAGGTGAAGCAGCTGTTGCAGGTAACCCCAGGACTTGTGTTGATAAGTCTTTGAGCATGTGAAATGGACTGTGATAATTAATGGGCGCTGTCTGTTTGTTTAATGTATACCAGTTTTGGACACTGCTGCTGGAGTGTGGTTGGATAGGAATGGACTGGTGACTTCTTCAAAGGGCAATAAAGGACAAACAGAATACGATCCTTCCTTGGAGTTGATGCGTCGCTGTCGGCATGCTTCTTCTTCTGTTGGTGTTCGTATATATATTTATGGTGGTCTTAGGGGAGGTAAGGATGAATTTGTCAAAAAAGGTTGATGTACATACGCATGCTAGAGTGTGTGTGTGTGTGTGTGTGTGTGTGTGTTTTTTTTTTTTTTATTATTTTTTTTATCTCAAATGCTGATGCTTTATCTCTAAGTGGCTCTTGATGTGCTAAAATTTCTTTGTTAAGAATGAATTGCTTGAGAGAATATGAGATGTCATTTCGTTTGAAATTTTCGAGCAGTTGTGCAGAACTATGTTGTCCTTCTGAATTAGATGTGAGATATTATGTCTGTTGGTTTATTAGATTATTTGCTTGCTATAGAAAATTTCATGCTTGTATATAAATCAAGCAGTAGACTGGCACGTGAAGTTGAATATTATTTCCTAGGTAATGAATGGATGAAGAGGAAGGAACTGGTAGCTTATAAAAAGAAAAATGTAATGATACAAGGGTAGAGCATCCATGATAAATAATTTACGAAAAAATATTGCTAGATTACACTGCTCAGATACTTCTAATAGATTGTGTAGTAAACAAGTTATAGTTACTGCGTTTGATTTACAAGCAAATATCTTCCCTGCTGTCATATCTTGCCTTTTTGTCATGTGCTGGCAAACCTATTTCACTATCACAGTATCTTTTGGAGGTGTACATGGAAATTATAAAGTCCGCAGAAATTATGGGGTCCTGAGAGATGCTTGATGTTCCAAAAATGTTGCTGATTAGTTGGGTTGTGATGGCTCTAGGGCATGAGGTTATTTTTTCCTTAGTCTTATTTCTATATGGGTGATGGGCGCCTCCATGGTGTCTGTCTAATTTTTTTTTATAAATTTTATTACCTATTAATGAATAAAAAGTACGGGGCTACTTTAAGGATTTGTAATCAGCGCCTTGTAAATTTCATGAATGAGCTTATGACTATCAGATTCTGGTTGATGGATATTAAGGACCAATGCTAGTTTTGAGAGCTACAAAGACAAGCTAAAATCTTGAAAAGTTTTAAGTGTAGCATAAGTAAACCTAGTCTAGAACCAACTGAGATGAGGACCAAGGTGTGCTGACATTGGATGAGGAGTTTACTGTGATGAGGATCAGGTATGCACAGCTTGTTGTACACAATAACAAATATAGTTTTGATCAAGAAAATAATATTTGCTGAGTAAAATTGAGTCGAATTTCGGCAAAATTACAAGGCCATAATGTGCCTTTGAGATTGAAGGCAATTTTTATATATATTTTTTATGTTTTTTTAGGATTGCTATTAAGTGTCTTTTTAAACAAAATAGAATGGTGTCATGTTTATTGAGATGGAGTCTTTGGTGTGGAGAGTAGAGCGTTGGAATAATGGGGACTTAAATAAGTTTAGGGAGACTAAGGCGTGTATTGGGGTAGAGGTAATAAATGTCATTTAAGGCTTTGTGTCATATTATCTGGTTGCACTCTTTATAATCCCCATTATATTTTGTTTATTTTTACAATCGGACACTGGATTTTGTACCCATGTTCTATACTCGTGTACAGGTAACATGGCTGCACAGTGAATTTAAATCTTGACTCAAATATGTGATGTTGAATAGTATGGATTTTCATGCAGATGTATTGCTGGATGACTTCCTGGTCACAGAGAATATGGTGTCGCAGTCTGATGATAATTCCCCACCACTGACATCGGAGAGAGCTCCGAGCCTAACTGATCCCAGAGTTAATATTAGTATTTCTACGTCGCCCTCTATAAATGTATCTGATGGAAGTCATGAAAAAAATCTACCTTGTGTTGTAAGGTAGAAGTTTCTGGCTTTTCTTTAATGCTTCCTCCGATTCTTTTAGATGCATCACTTTGGATTTCACGGGCTCTTAGGTATTTTTTGGTGAGAGATTTTAAATGGGTGTAGGGGTAGTTTATTTAGGGTAGTGAGGAGCAATGGGAGAACAATATAAGAATTTGGAAGTTAGCAAGGGCAAATGGGTAATTTGATAAGCAAAACCTTACCTAAAAGAGAAAGAAAAAATTGATTCATCTAAATTGAAACTTTCCTAAATTGAAAGTGATGCATCTTAAAAAAAATGAAGGAAGCAATATTTATGATGGTTGAGTGACTTGGTGGAATATATTTGAACTTTGAAACTTCTGCTTCCAGCCCCGGAAAAAAATCTGTGGATAAACTTGTGGAGGCATCTGCTGCTGAGGTTGAAGCAGTTAGAACGGTCTGGCAGGCTGCTCAAGCTGCATCCTCATCTCCACCAGATGAATCTCCTCTGTCGCAAGGCAGCACACCTACCACAGATACTCCTTCAGATGGTAGTGATGCTGATGGTGATGTTCGCCTCCATCCTAGAGCAGTATGTACTTTTACTTCAGTATTATTATGTTTTAATTGTGCTTTTGGTTTCCAGTATTGACTTTTGGTTGGCACAGGTTGTAGTTGCTAAAGAAATTGTAGGGAACTTAGGTGGAATGGTGAGGCAGTTATCACTTGACCAGTTTGAAAATGAGAGCAGGAGGATGATACCTGTCACCAGTGACCAGTCAACTCTTGGCAAAAAGTTCGTGAAACCCAAGTCTCCTCAGGGTTTGCATAAAAAAGTAGGACATCAAAATGTTTTTTTAATTTTTTCCAATCGCGGACATGGGAAACTGAAATATGTCATTCGTATTCATTGCTCTTTAACTTTTGTCAGGTTATCTCTACTTTGCTCAGACCACGAAACTGGAAACCTCCAGTAAATAGGAAATTTTTCTTGGATTCTTATGAAGTGGGTGAGATTTGCCATGCTGCAGAACAAATTTTTATGCATGAGCCAAGTGTTCTTCAGTTGAGAGCTCCGATCAAAGTGTTTGGTGATCTTCATGGACAGTTTGGAGATTTGATGCGATTGTTTGATGAATATGGATTTCCTTCAACCGCTGGTGACATTACGTAAGCTATTGCTCTTTTCTTTTAGTTGGAAGTTATAGATTATAGTACATTAATTATGGTTTTACCTACTAAAACCGAGGTGAGGGATATGGATATAATCAAACAGTTCTTCCTTTTTTTGGTGAAAATTCAATCATGTTTATAGCTCTACAGCTTTTACGTAATGGTTTCTGAATTTTGCATGACCAACAGACCTTCCTGTCTTGTTTCTTGTAATGTATCTAACACGAAAAATTGTAGAGATTATTGAAACTGAAATCATTGAGTTTTGAAATGTTTATCCTTATACTAAGACCAAATAGTATACTATGATCAAGGGGCTTGTATTTGTTTCATGTGGAATTATTTTCTACCTTTTTTTTTAATTTTATTATTTTATTTATTTTTTTTATCTGCTTATTTGCTGGCCCAGAGGACCTATCCCAGTGTTGTTGTGTTTTTTTTTGGTGTGTGGGTGGGGGGGGGGGGGAATTACCCTCAAAGTTCTGCTTTAGACTGGCATCCAGCCAAACTTCAAGTTCAGAAAAAAAAAAAGGGGGGGGGGGGTGTGATTCTTAGGTTGGATGGTGCCTTATATGCTTCTGTCAATATATGCTTTAGACTGGCATTAATCTTTTCACTATATGATGCATTGCTGAATCCATTTTGAGTTAATTGGTCCAAATTGGGAATAGTTAATATTGTTGTTTTTTTTAGCTTATATTAGAATGAGAGATTTTTTTTTTTTTTTTTTTTGGTGGGGGGATGATAAATGGACAATTACGACTAACGAGGTTGGGGGAGAATTAGCCCTTTAGTCAACTTCTTTGAAGTCAATGCTAAGATATGTGATATCCTTATAGGTTCATGTTCTATTTTTTCTTTTTCCACACTTTCAAAGAATGCTTGTCAATGATCTCAATTGCTTGTACTGGTCCTGTGAATCTGACTTAAATGTCAATTAGCTTTTGCAGCTGTTTTGCATTAATGAGTTGGCTATTAATTTGTCAATGTTTGTTGTTCCAGGTATATTGACTATCTATTTTTAGGTGACTACGTTGATCGTGGGCAACATAGCTTAGAGACTATTACATTACTTCTTGCTCTGAAGGTATAGTTGCTCTATTTCTCTTGATAGCTTGGTTTATTTTAATAAACTTGTGGTGCACTACAAACTAATAAATTAATTTATTTTGAAGATTGAATATCCTGAAAATGTTCACTTGATACGTGGGAATCATGAAGCTGCTGATATTAACGCACTCTTTGGGTTTCGTCTTGAATGCATTGAGAGAATGGTAATGTTGACTTTTATTTTATTTTTTTAAACTCCTGAGGCCCAAGATTAAGTTTTGCGTATATTATTTGGTTTTTAAAAACGGATCCACAAATTTTTTTTTTTCAAAATAATCATTGTTATTTCCTTCATCCTTGTTTACTTGCCCCATAGCTACATGTGCAACAATTAATACGATTGAGTCTGGGACCCAACCCAAGGTGTAAGAGAAATAGTCTCCTATAAAGGAAATGGTGCAAGTAAATTGGGATAGCCCAAAATTGAAAACGGAGCTAGTAAATAGGGCTTAGGTAGATTTTAGTATTTTAAGATATGCACCTTTCACCATTGATCATTTGGCATACAACACACTTTCTAACATGGGCAGGTTTTAACAAGTCTAGAAATTGTGCAACATTAACTTCATTTCAGAGTGAGAAAGCACTACCATTTTTAGATGTTCTAACATTTTAACAAATTATAGGGGGAAAATGATGGCATATGGGCATGGACACGGTTTAATCAGCTATTCAACTATCTTCCACTCGCTGCCCTTATTGAGAAGAAAATTATCTGTATGCATGGTGGCATTGGAAGGTCTATTCAAGCAGTGGAACAAATAGAAAAACTTGAGAGACCCATAACAATGGATGCTGGTTCTATAGTTCTAATGGATTTGCTGTGGTATACCTGAATTTGATGCTGTATCTCCTATATTTTCTTTCTACTGCCTCTGTCGATGCCTCACAGCATTTTTTTATGCAGGTCTGATCCCACAGAAAATGATAGTATAGAAGGTCTGAGACCAAATGCTAGAGGTCCTGGATTAGTTACATTTGGGGTATGTATTATGCAGCTACATTTCATATGTTTTACTGTTCTAATTTTGACATTAATTACTCAATTACATTTTGAGCACTCCTTTTCTTTTGTGTGGTGTATCCACAATCCTTGAAGAACAAGGAGTAATTTGCATGCAACTAGCCATTTGTTTTTTTGGTTTTAATTATTTATTTTAATAATTTATTACTTATAATGAAATTTTCAGTGGAATTATTCCCATTTACTTCAATGATAAATCTGTAGTGCACAAGTTTAGGAGGTGTTTTTACTTTGTGTTGGTACACTGCAACAAATTCTCTTTTATTTTCTGTGGGTGTTGCTTTAATGGAGAAAGCACAATCAGTTGGATATTTAACTTACTTCTTTTTGTGGAATCATGTTTGACTTATTGGTCTCCTCTTTTTTCTTTTTGCGGTCCCAAATCCCTTCTTGCATCAATGGTAGTACAAGTTCTGATTTAGAGCACAATACATATATGGCTAATGTAGGTGATAACTTGGACTTTAGGAAAGTGGCAAATTGCCTTGACAACTTACAGCAATAGTTCTATCCCTATTGACTTGTAATTGGAGCAAATTGGTTTATTTTCTATTCTCCGATGTGCTATTAACCAATACCCAACACCTATTCTCTGAACAAAGTGTCATTGGAATTAATTTTTTAGTAGAAAATGAGACTGGAATTGCGAGGTGTGTTTGGAAATTAAATTCTTATACATAAGATTTGTATATAGATTTGTGTAAATGTTCTCTCAAATTACATTCTCAGATTCCAGTTGAGAAAAAGGTATGATGCTGGCTTTTTGGCTATAGTGGGTGAGATGGGGTAGATTGTATAATTGATCTGGATGGATTGTACGTGAAAGATGTTAGACATTTTCTAGTTTTGTCACATCGTATGTGAAAGATGCATTGAATTTTTATGGTGATGTGTAAATATGTACTTTTGATTCATGTTAGCCGACCCCAAATCATTTTGGAACTGAGGCGTTGTTGTTGTATATATGTACTTCCATCCAAGATATGTTGTCACATTGTCCCTATCCTTCAATACTAAGAACTAACACGGAACTTTTTATGAAAATGGAATTTTGTGAAATAAAATCATAAACCTTCTCATTTGGCATTGTTGTGGTTTTCTTTTTTTGTTTTTCAAAATCATATGATACATGTCATAAAATGAATCAAAAATTATTCAAACTTATTAAAAACATGATAATTTTGAAAATAGACAACAGAAAAGTGGAAACACCTTTTTCTTGTTTCCTATTTTTGAAATTTTGTTTTTAAAAAAACTGAAAACCAAAAACAATGCCAAACAAGCCTAAATTTGTGGATTGGCAACAGAAAAGTTAACAAGGAACTTTTTATGAAAATGGCATGTTGTGACATTAAATCATAAAACCTTACTGTATGTGGATTGGTGACAATTTGTGCTGGGGGTACATCCGTACATGTGACTGTTGATTTCAGGATATTGTGACATTAAATCATAAACCTTACTGTATTTGGATTGGTAACAATTTGTGCTGGGGGGTACATCCGTACATGTGACTGTTGATTTCAGGAATATGTATAAGAAGAGTTATTGTCGGACTTAGTTATGTACTGCTACTATGTTGAAATGTCATCGGGAAAATATTTGATAAATATTCAAATGTTGTCTGTTATGTGGTGTATGATGAGTTTTTTTCCTAAGTCCTTCAAATATACATGAGTGGTTCTAGATTGTATTGTGGGTTTTGGTGGGGGGAAGGAGAAAAAGTTGCTCTGCAGAAATGCAATGATGTCTATTTTGTAAAGAACCTAGCTAGAGTAGAACTGACGAAATTTTGGTGGCATTGCTGCTCTGTTCAGTTATGGGTTGAAGTCAACCTAGTTTGCCTGTCTTATAAGCTAAGTTGAATGGGGCTTTCCCAGATAATATTATAGGGGGGTGGAAAGGTATTGGTCTTCTAGATGTGCAGTTTGGAAGTATCATTTAACTGGATGTCTGGTTAAACAAAATATCACTGAAAAATCATATAAAACTTGATTGCATGACCACAAGTTTTGGCTATCAAAATTTGTGGGGATTTATTTTACAGCCATCTTAATTTGCTTCGTTAGGAAGTGTAATATCTGACTTCCAAGCCTATCTGAAGTTTGTGTGCTGTTCTCTCTCTCTTTTTTTTTTTTTTTTTGTTAATTTTTTTTCCCAATGAAAAGGTTTTGTTCTTATTTGTTACTAAAATGAATTGGAACTGATTCATATACAGCCTGACCGAGTCACAGAGTTTTGCAAAAAGAACAAACTGCAGCTCATTATTAGGGCCCATGAGTGCGTGATGGATGGTTTTGAACGATTTGCTCAAGGGCAGCTGATCACACTCTTTTCTGCTACGAACTATTGTGGTAACTACAATTGTTAATTGTGTTTTGAAATAATTATTCCTGTTCTATTTTAGCTTGTATCCTAATTGCAAGTTGCTTCAGGGACTGCAAACAATGCTGGAGCAATATTGGTTATTGGCCGTGGTTTGGTAGTGGTTCCAAAGTTGATTCATCCCTTGCCACCGCCTATGCAATCACCTGAGACTTCTCCAGAACGTTCCATGGATGATACATGGATGCAGGTATAATTCACAAAAACCTTGGGAGTTTTTTTTATTTTTATTCCTGACACCATCTGTATGCTGAGCTCTCTCTTTCTTCTATCCTCTTTTCTTTGTGCTGATATTTCTTCTTGAATGGTTAGGAACTCAACATTCAAAGACCACCAACTCCTACTAGAGGTCGGCCTCAGCCTGATCATGACCGCAATTCACTTGCTTATATTTAATGTTGAATGTATGATTTCATCAGCATTATGTGCCTCTTTGCACTCAGAGTCCCTAATTGCCAAAGCAGATGCTTTACCAACCTTCATTATACACCTTACAGTGCTGTGCTGTAAGCCTCATTTAAATTAAAGATTTTTAGATACGAGTAGTATAAATCTCATCCTCTGTACATGTAGCTTCGGTATTGTTGAAGAGTTAGTTCCATTTTTGTTAGCATATGCATTAAGCCATAGATACTTTGTTTTTGTAGAATTGTAGTGTAAAGGCAGGCCATAAGGAGAGATACAGAAGCAGTTGAGAGAAGCTTTCCATTTGAGTGTTCATTAATTGTAAAATGAAATCATATTTATCTGTAATTAATTTATTTTTAACAAGTGTATTATTGGCATTTGGTGTATGATATTGAATCTGCTTTTGGTATCATATAAAAATACCAGTATATGATCACTGGGTATGTTGTGTTATATACGTCCTCATTTCATTATGGATATCATTTGACAAAACTTATTACTTTGAATAATAATTAATTAATACACGTACCAGTTTTTAAAATAGTGATTATTGGTCCTATTCCTTATAGTGCATGCTAAAAGGTTCTCCCTTTCTCTTCTCTGTATATACAAGAACAGTAGTGTCCACCAGAGTGATGTTACCAGTATTTTCATTGCGGAAACAGTGTAAGGGACTGCCAGAAATAAAAAATTACTCCTACTGACAACAAGATATGTTATTTAGAGTCTAATCAAGTCACTGAAAGAGTCCATAGCAGATATGCAGCATGATTAACGCTCCTAAAGCAGCTCAGTTTACCAGACATAATTGACACATTTTCATCCTTATCCTTGAAAGAGTTTGCAGATAACCACAAACCTGCAGCTGGTTAGATAGAGTGATAAGAAAGAGTTCTCAAACATTTGTCATCATGTGTCACTCATGCAGCAGGAAGGCTTAACAAAGTCGGTCTCACAGAAGGCAAGCTTGATATGGGCAACTATGTAGCACATTTTAAGAATCCAAAAGCTAACGAACCGGAGGAAAGATGCGGGAGTAATTAGAAATCACAGATCCCTGAATATACTTCTTTCGATTGTTGGGATCAGGACTCCAATTAATTTCACTCATATTGGGTGTTTCAACATAGGACATTGTAAATTCCCCTGCCTTCTGAATCTTTCCTCTCTTGCCTGCTCTCAGCAATAGATTTTTACGCTGGTAAGAAAATATGCCATTGGAGAGGTGGATGATATCGCCTGTCTGGAAAAAATCACATTCCTGTCCCCAAAGCTGAAAATGAACTGCAGCAGTCTCATCTGCCACAAGTGCCAAACAAGTCTTGTTTTGGCCTTCTGCAGATATCCTGCCTTTATCCAACAGTATGAATCTAGTGTCTATATTGTTTGATGCAGCTGGTTTAATGTCCTTCAAGAGCATCATCGTAACAGTGAGTACAGTACCTATCCACAAAAACATTACACTATGTTAAGGTTGCATATAATTCTCTATTATCCTCATGGACCTCCATGACCACGAGCAGAATCATCAGCAACACCTATTCTGCCCTTTCATCCACTTCCACCACCTTCTCCCCAACACAAAGCCTCCACAATGCTTAATAAAAAAGAAGACCAAGATATTCACTGGATTAAATACCCTTTGATTGCTAACTAAAATTAGAACCCTATTACTCTATTAGCAAGTAAAATCCGGACGGAAAAAACTGTAGGTATTGAACCAACAAGTCACAAACTGTGAAAATAAGGTGACACTATACAAGAAACGATAATTTAATTGAAGATAATTGAATTGAACTAAGCAAACTAAAAAATTACAATCCAAAAATTCTCAATGACAATTCATCTAACTTGTGAGCAATTTTCAATAAATTGAATGTGCATAGTTAATTCCACAATATATACCACATTTGTTCAAATTTCTCATCATTTTTAGATTCTTCCATCTTATTCAAGCAACACGAGCTTAAAAAAAAATCCTAACATTTTAAGTCATGAGGGAAACAACAAAAAGGCAATTTAATTCATAATTAACGAATATATATTTGAGGGTCTCCCATAAACACTTTCTAATGGTTTTTCACTCATAAGGGTAAGATTACATACATGTGGACCTCCCCAAACCCTAAACTCTCTAATGGCTTTCACTATTGTCAACGTCTATCTCTAATTTGTACCTTCAACGGTAAATTATAGCCTGAGAAATGTGACTTATACTGGAAAGTCCGGGACTTGCGAGTTATTGCATCATCCATGCCTACAATATACACTTAAGTGTATCTCATTAGCACAAGTAAAAGTCTATATGAACAGATTCTGCCGGCCCTTTCATTAAAATGAAGCATGGTTTTACAGCTAACTTTTTTTGATAATGAATGTAATTATAGTATAATACAGCTCAAAATTCAACTGTTTGAGTGAGCATAAGAAAGAATCATTGTAGTTTATACAGCTTGGACTACTTTACTTCATAGTATATCTCAATGTTTTATTAGCTGAGTTGATTATAATTACTCACTCGTAATTGTAACATTCAATTTTGACAAATTTTGATTTCTATGTGACAAGAAGGTAGTAGTTTCACAAAATTTTCAAACTTCCATGCCAATCTCGCTCATATTCCTACAAGTCATCATCATACAAATATAAGCAAAATTTGAAAGATTTGAAACTACAATTGAAAAATAGTAAAGACTTTTATGTATTCTACAGAACTTTTCCTGCCAAGTACCCTCTTTATTACTCAAAGGAGGCAACTCAAACCCAGAAAATTCAAAATAAAAACCCAGATGCGAATGAATCCTGAAAAATTAAATTAAAAAACTAGTAAAAAATTCAAACTAACAAAACATTAGAAATTACCATAATAATTCAGAACTAAAGAATCCAGAAAATTAACCAAAAAAAAAAAAAAAAACAAAACAGAGAAATCAAGTATTCGAAAAATGAATAACAAAAAAATCTTATCAAATGCAAATAATATGCAGAGAAAATTGAGCACAGGCAACGAAATCCCAGTTTGAATGAAAATTAAAGAGATTTGATGAGAAATGAGGGTATAGCAGAGGAACTGGAATGACATATACAACAAATAGTTAAAGAGATTACCTGAAATTTGTCAATATTTTTGCTAATTTGAGAGCAGTGGATGAATTGATTAGGTTAAGGTATAGTAGCGCTGCTCAGAACTGGTAGCTCATTCTCGTTTGACTCCATTGTAAATTTGTAACTTATAGCTTTTACACAATAAATCAATTACACACAAAATGACAATAATCAAATAATCAATCAAGAAATTAAACCAATTTTATATGAACCATGAAATAAAAAACCCCAACAACAAAAAAACTAACTCCACATATTCAAAATCAATTATTCAATTATAATTCAAATTAGCAAAATAGCAATTATCATATATCAATTAAAAAATAAATTGAACTTACAATCTTACAATGTATCGAGTACTCGAGCAGACGGAAGCTCGGACTGCAGTCCTCCGGTCCGGTGTCATGGCCGGTGGACGCTGCAGTGGCGTATCAGGAGTTGAGTTTGGGAATTTCGGGGAAAAAAAGTTAGAAAATGGGAAGTGAAATGACTGAAGAGTGAAAGACTGAAAGTCTGAAAAAAAATGAGGCTTTGAGAGTCGAACCTTGATCTCCACTAGCCCATTAGGCCATCAGTCACTTAGGAATTAGGATGCAAGGGAAAATTAACTACCGAGGATTTAAACGGGGCAAGGCAAGGGGAATGTTGGTTTTCTCATTCCCATTCCCGTCTAATATTTTTATTTCCATCCCCATCTACGTGACGGGTTTTAAGTTCATCCCCATTTATGCCCTTATAAAAGTACGAAACCATCTTCACCCCAATCTTCACATGGATATCCATCCCCGCCTAATTTCCACCTAAGACCCACTTAATCCCCGCCTCCCAAATACAACAATACTACATAATATAATTTACAATGTGTTGTATATTTATATATATAATAATAAAATAGTATAAAAGGGATAGGGAGGCTATGAGCGGGTGGGTAGGAAGTGGGGTTGGGGCGGCTGGACGGGTACAACATAAATCCACCCTGCTTCTATCACTCATGGTGGGTATGGTTTTTATCCCCACCACTCGAATCGGGACTCATCCCTGCCCCACTAGGGCGCGGATGAGGCGGCTTTCCTACTTGATCTCCCCACTGACATCACTATTGCACACTAACCTCTTGTTTTACATTACACAAATATTCTATTTTTACCTTTATTTTTGTTTAAAAAAAAAACTTTTAACTAAATCCGCCACTGCTTGGTACAAAAATATATATATTGAAAAATAAAAATACAAAAATTTATTTATTGAAAAATAAAAATCAGTTTTTTTATTGGGTTTGATCATCCGTCTACCATTTGATATTCATTTCTCTCTCATCTGTCTCTCTCTTATATGAACAATTGAACACCAATCGCCACCTACCCAACCTATCAACCCGCACCAACTAGATTCGCATACCCCACGCACTTAAACCTGGGCACGGGCCGGGTTGGCCCGCGTGCCGCCCGGCACGGCCCGCCGTTCGGAGCAGCCCGGCACGGCACGAAGTTCGACTTCCGTGCCACGGGCCGTGCCACGGACACGGTGGAGAATTCCCAGGCACGGCCCGGCACGAGCACGGGCATGGCCCGCAGGCACGGCCCACAGGCACGGCCCGCGGGCCAACGGCTAGTTAAACGGCTATAAACGGCTAGTTTTTTGCCAAAAATTCTATAAATACTCACCTCCATTTCATTCCCAAATCACAAAATCACAATCTCTTCTTCTTATCTCTTATATTCTCTAAATCTCTAATAATCCTTATTTTCTTAAATTCTCTAATTATTCTCTTAAATTCTCTAATTATTTTCCTAATATCGGAAAAAATTAAAAAGTTCGTAATCGTAATTAGTGGAGCGTTGAAGCACGGTTGTAAGATCTAAACTAATCTTAAATTTATTATTGTTTTATTGTTATTATTTGAATAATCTTGTTTAATTATTATTGTTGTTAATTGTTATTGTTGTTGTTATAATTGTTGTTATTAATTATTATTATTGTTACAATTGTTGTTATTATTTATTTTTGTTGTTATTGTTATTGTTATAGTTGTTGTTATTAATTATTATTATTGATATTTTTATTGTTAAAATTGTTGTTATTAATTATTATTATTATAGTTAACCACTTTTTATTAAAAAATTAATTGTTAATTATGGCATCGAACAACCCATCATCTAGGTCTAGGGGGAAAGGCCGACTTATCCGTAGTAGTAGTTCTAGGGAACCACCAAATACAACGAGCCCCCAAATTACGAGTCAAACCAATGACCCCATTTACTTCCCCCCGGGCTATGAGCCATATAATACGTCGGGATTTCCAGCACCACCACTAAACCAATTTCCACTACCACCATACCAATTTCCACCTAATTATATCGGTAATCAACAAAACTATTGTTCTAGCCAAGGTAGCCAAGAAAGTACCCGAATTCCCTCCGGTTCTACCCCTTCTACTGCCACTCCCACTAGTCCCCCTACTAACCATCACACACATCATGAATGGTTAACCGAAACTGAGATGCTACTTTTGAAAAACCGAAGGAGTGAGGTATGGCGTTATTTTGTCCTAAGTAAAGATGGTGAACAATGGGCAAAATGTAAAACATGTAATAGTGTATTCACGGCAGTTACCAAAAACGGGACGGGACACTTATCTAGACACATGAAAGCTTGTGCAAAACCAGCTAGTGATCCAACCCAGCCCAAAATTTCCCAATTCCATCCATACGGCTTTACATACAACTATGAGAGGGATAGGGATGAACTAGGAAAAATGATAGTACACGCCGAACAACCTTTTCTTTTCTCGGAAAGTGACGCATTCAACACCTACATTAACAAAGCACTACAACCCCAACATAAAAGAATCTCTAGGAAAACCGTTCGTTCCGCCGCAATGAAAAATTTCCTAGAGTACAAAGTCCGGTTACAAGCCGAATTGAGTAACCTTAACTGTAGAGTATCTTTAACAGCCGATTCTTGGGATAGTGGTTATAAATATCACTATTTATGTGTGACTTGCCATTGGGTAGATGATCAATGGATGTTACAAAAAAGAATAATACATTTCAAAATGCTGGAATACCCACACACCGGCATTAACATTGCTCACCATTTAATGCAAGCAATAGACGAATACAACCTTCGAGATAAAATGATGTCTATGACTTTTGATAATGCAACCTCTATGACATACACAGCTAATCTTATCAAACAAAACTTAACCGATGTACTATTAGACGGTGAAGCTCTTCATACTAGATGTGTTTGCCATGTACTTAACTTATGTGTACAGGATGGAGTTCGGGCAATTGGCCCATACTACAGCAAAATCAGAGATGCTATTATGTCTATTAATAGCTCTAACATGAGATACCAAGAATGGAAGAGTTTTCTAAAACAACAAAAGATAAGGGTAATAAAAATTAGAACCGATTGCCCAACTAGGTGGAATTCCACCTATGACATGTTAACAAAGGCAATTGAGTACAAGGGCCCGTTAACATTATTTTACAACCAAAAATTTCCACAAAATGCTTTGTATGATGATGATTGGAATAACTGTGAAAGATATATGCAATTTTTACAGTTATTATATAACATGACGTATTGTTTTTCTACTGTTTACAATCCTTGTGCTCAAAACTTTCTTTCTAATGCATGCTTACTCGCCCAACTTTTCGCTGATCATCGCGATCAAAGTGATTATGATCAGTATCTTCCAGCAATGGAAAAAAAGTGGCGTAAATATTATAGTCAGATTCCTTTGATTTATATTTTTGCTTCCATATTAGATCCTAGGCAAAAGTATGAAAACACATTTATGTTAGTTGACATTTACTTTCAATGCATGTTTCTTGACGATGATGTAGAAAACTATAAGACTAATGTGAAGGATCAGTTTTTTGCTTTATATAGAGTCTATGAAGCCAAATATGGCACCGTTCCTCGCTCAGGGCCTTCCCAACCATCCAAAAACGTAAGTAAGAAGGCCAAACATTTATTTTCACAAGCTACTAACTTGATTTCAAGGTTTTCAGGTGATTCATCAATCAGGAGAACGCAAAGTGACGTCTCGGAGTTGCAGATGTACCTGAGTTACGACTTCACCAAAGGCATGGACGACGATGAGATAAACAGCCTCGACCTCCTTGCATGGTGGAAACAACAAAGCTCGAAGCATCCAACTTTGGCGGCAATGGCACGAGACATTCTTGCTATCCAAGTTTCCTCCGTCGCCTCCGAACGAGCTTTCAGCGCATCCGGAAGGGTTTTAGACGATAGAAGAACAAGTCTAAAACCCGAAACACTAGAAATGTGCGTGTGTTTCAAAGATTGGTTGGATGCGGAAAATCGCTCACAAGACCGTTCTTACGACCACAACGACAACGAAGAAGGAACCTCCGCTTCCGGTTCAGGTTCGGCTAGTTCCCAATCTATGCAACTAGCTGATGACCTTGAAGGCGAAGGCGAAGACGAAGACGAAGACGAAGACGAAGACGAAGACGAAGACGAGCAAGAAGAAGGAGAAGAAGAATAGACAATTATTGTATATTGTACGATTTTAAAAATATCAATTTTATCATTTTCCAATTTTTGTTTAATACCATCATTGTATGATTTTTATCATTGTTATCATTGTATAATTTTCTCAACTCAAGTAATAATAATATAAAGTACGCATTATTCACATCCAAAGTCCAATTTGCCTTTTTTCCCCGTTTTGTTACAATTTGTAAATTCATATTAAAATAAAATAAAATTATACCAATTACTAATAAATCATAAACATTAAATTTTAAAGTAATAGTATAAAGTAAATATATAAATATAAATATTGAATATACAAATTATAAAACATAAATATTCAACTTATAATTATAAAATTCATAACTTAATAACTTATAACTTATAAGTTATAAACTTATAAGTTACCTTATAAAACTTATAATTATAATTTTATAACTTATATACATTATAAACTTATTAATTAATAATGTTGTCATTAAAAAAATAAAAAAAAAAAAAAAATGAAAACTGCACCAGCCCGCGCAGGCCAGCCCGCAGCCCGGCACGTGGTCGGCACGGCACGAGCCCGCCAGGCACGAGGCCGTGCCGTGCCGTGGGCTGGCCTGTGAAAATGGCCGGCACGACACGGCACGAAATCCTGGGCCCGCCGGCACGACCGGCACGGCACGAACCAGCCTGCGGCCCGCCAGGCACGGCCCGCGGCGGCCCGGCACGGCACGGTGCCCAGGATTACCCACGCTGCCATTGACCGCATAGCCCACATAAACCGCCACTATTCGCTATCAGATGATGTTTAATTCAGATTTTGTATAACCAACATCGTTGATTGTATTACACTAATAAACTTTAAATACGAGTCTATATACAAAAGATAACTATTGAAGATAACATAATGATTTAAATTAGGTTAGGGAGATAATAGACAACTCGATCTATAAGGATATTATTACTTAATCAAAGATATTATATACACATAAATATTACTTCGTAACATCATCAAATACGGACTATATAATTTGAAGTTAGTGATATCAAGGAATTATATCAAGATATAAATTACACCCACTTTTATAAGTGGCTGGACACACAAAATGGGAGGTTACTTTGTTAGTGTTATAGGGATTACTCGGACATTGTTATAGTGGTTTCTTGGTTTAGTGTTTCATAGATTACTTTACTTTTTTGACGAGCGGTCACACTGCACATAAAACATGATGTTTAAATTATGTAGTAAATGTAATGGCTAAATTAATATTGGCAAGAAGATTCAATTAAAAAATTGAAAAATAAATAGCA